AGGCCCTGCTGAGTTAAAAAAAAAATGAGTAAGATCTAGTTACACCTCCCAGGGCCTGTATAGAAGCGATTAGACAAGTACATGACACAAAGCACAAGTTAAATGCTAAACCATCTTGGGGTTCAGTGGGAAAACAATAACAATTGGACAGTTGGATGGGAGAGGGGACAGGTGAGAAGAATCAGAAACATGGAGGATGAATTACTTGGGATAAGCCTTACATTAAAAAAAAAAGGAGACAGAGAATATTGGAATAGTGTTACAGGCGGAGGGCATAGCATATACAAGGCATGAAGGTAGAAAGAGTGGCAAGTTCACCTGGCTGTTTGGCAAGAGTTTATGGAGTACACAGGATGAGTTGTAGATTGGCGATGACCACAGCATGGATAATAAAAATGGAAAGAATAGCTTAAATGCCAGTATGAATTATGTTAATGCTGTCCATAGGGAGCCACTGAAGAATTTTTTATTGGAAGGGTGATGTGGGGACCACCTGCTCCTCTCTCATCATTTATTCTGTCTCCTGAGCTCTAGGTCCCGTCCTTTGCCTCTGTCCAGCACAGCAACATCTGGAAACTTCAGCCAATGAATCAAACTTCCGGTCTATCAGGTACCGCACCTTGGAGAGCTGTCCAAAGTACAACAGAAATCCGGGCCCTAGATTGCCTAGTCAATGCGCACCTCGCTGTGTAGAACACTACGGCGTGCCAGAATGTTGAGAAGAGGGTGTTCAAGATGCAGAATACAGATAAGAGGTCATTGGTAATGAGAATACTCATTTGTCATATCGCTTCTTTGGGGAGTTATGATTTCAGGGTATTAAAGAGGAAACCAAGCCGATAAGAAAAAAAGGATGTGTACAGATAGTAAATTCTAAGCAGTGAGCAAGGAGAATAGACCGTAGCTAGTCAAATCTCAAGGCAGCCCAGGACTAAAATCGGTACTGGTGTGCAATGAAGGGTGAAGCCCAAACAACTGGAGGTTAGTTCGAGGTCACCCCCCGCCCCCAGGCCTTACAAGCACCATCCTCCTGGTGTAATGATGGAAGAACTGGACCCTCCAGCTGTTGATATGGGCTTGGAGAGGCTAAGTGTGTTTCATGGTAATATTTCCTGTGACTTAGACTTAGAGGTCACCCAGGGAGATGGAAGTACCCTTGGTGTGGAGGGAGCTTGAAGGTTTGAGAACGCTGGTGCCCGCTGGGGAAGCAATGAAGAGGGCAGAGCAAAGCTTTGGTGTTTTGCTGTGGCCGGGGCGGGCTCTCACCGGGCTGCCGGCCTCTAAGCGGCTGCCGGCCTGGCGCAGCCATCCACCTGACGCGGAGGATACCGAAGGATAGGCCGCTCGTAGCCCCGTTTCTTCGCC